CTTCAAGCCCAAGTGCTTGTTCATAGTAGGCAATGTCATTGTTGCCATCCTCGTCCGACAGTCAAAGCTTGCTGGTTCACGTCCATCTCCGGCCACTGAGATTTATGACGAGTATGTTAGGAGGAGCCAAACTCTTTGCAAAGCCTCTACGTATAAGGAAAAGAAAGAAGGGGATTTGACAAAGAAGTTAACTGATCAGAAGAAGAAAAACATGCAGACGATAGAGGGAGATCGAAAAGATGATCGTCATCGGGAAGAGGAGGAGCCTGGTTTACCTGTTCAGGAGTTGAACAAAAGAGTTGAAGATTTTATTGCAAGGGTTAACAAGCAAATTTGGCTTGAAGAATACAGGCTCTGAAGAAATTGGATTCAAGTTAGTCTAGGAAAAAAGATGAGATCGATACTATAACAATTGGGTGACAAGTTTGATTAGAGCAAGCTTTTGAGAATTTTAGCAGAAACACAGTAGAAATTCATGTAATAATATGTTAGAATATAAACTTTATTTTTTGTCTAGATATCCTATTTCATTGTTAGTGTGAAAACCAGAAATAAAAATACCTGAAAGTGTTTTCAACCCAAGAAACTTCATATAATTAGATGTATCACGTTTTGTTGTAAAATGCCTCAATGCATTGACTATAATGACTAAAATTAAATGACTATAATGTTATTTTTTATTGAATTACACTTAATCTACATTTCTTATTAAAACAAATTTTGAAAAAAAATTCGAACTAATTTGATGACATATTCATCGTTAAATTGTGAAATTAATTTTTTAAAATAAAAATCTTAAGTAGAAAATTGAAAACAATTTAAGTAATTATTTCTTATTTTTTTATGAATATAATGCATAAAAAAGAAGGTGTTTTTTATTTAAGTAATTTATTAATTTTTTATGAATATATTGTATGAAAAAAATATATTTTTTATGGTTAAAAAGTTTAAAGTGAGTATAATAAAGTTTGCACTTTATTGATGTATTGAACAAGTGATGTTCCATCTTTGCTTCCTTATTAATATATTGCTTTTGGGTTAAAAAGAAAGAAAAAAAAAACATCATAACTATAAGGAGATTTTTCTTTTTTTGGGTTCAAAACACCTTAAGAATTTGAATTGGGGTGGTTTTGGACACTCTAAAAATTAGAAACTAATATTATAGATTGTTTTTAATAATCATCATTGGATGAAATCTAATGATTGATACTAAATTCACATATATTGTTAAGCCCAAATAGAACACTCTTAGTTTTTTTGAAATTTGTTCTGTCCGTGCTTCAAAATAAAATATTTATGCTCTTACTTCATTGCCCACCACATGCTCTGCTTTGGAGCCCTTCTATGAAGCTTTACTCACATCCAAACAACCAAACAAAGCTCTCTTCTCTTGTGCATGACTTGATGTACAATTATTATCAGTATATTTTCAACTTTTCTCACTAAGATTCTCTCCCTCGTCTGTTAGGGTTATATAAGTCAAGGAATGGAAAAAGATTAGCAAATTCTATATGGTTGAACTACTTTTCAAAAGTAAAAATACCAATTCATTGAACTCTGCATCAAAAAAAATAGAATAGAACATAACAGAATAGGGAGACAAAGTTTGACACAATTCGTTAATACAATTTGAACATGAGTTAAACGGGTTTGTATTGAACTTAAATGGATTTGGATCGTAAAAGAGTTGACACGATTAACCCGTTAGTTAATCGTGTCGTGTTTAGGTTGAGGGGTTCAATTCGTTTATACCTATTTAATTATTCGTATCATAAACAAATTTCTATTTAAATTCCTAAAATAACTATCTAAACTTGCGTAATATTTAATAATTTATTGTTTTGTAAATTAGAGATTTTTTAGTAATTTGGTTGGATTGAAACTTATATTTTTCTAATATTTATTGTTTGATTGAATATTATTAATAATTTAAATAATATAATATTTCGTTTTATTAAATAGGTCATTAAACCCGTTTAATAATCAGGTCGGGTTATTGTTAAGAGTTCTTGACACGATTATTAAACGATAGTGATCGAATTAAGCTGTTTAGTGGAATACTATTGACATGACACGATTGCGACCCACAATTACGAATTGTCATACCAATTATTTATGATGGTGAAATAAAGGGGAAGTTAGAACTTGTCACACATTTTGTGTCTTTCACAATTGGAGTTGGGTTTTGTACTTCAACTAAGCTAGGGTTGCACCACAATATGGAACCCATTGTATAATCTATTACCAAATGACACATTTTCCACATTTTTATTTTTTATTTATTTTTTATGTCAGTCACTTTTACATAATATTTATATGTATAGGTGTGTATAAATATTAAGGTTTTACGCCATATGTATATATCACCTTAAATGTGTTTTACTTGGTTGATTAACAAATTACCCTTGACACAAACTTTTTTTGTCTCCTAGATATCTAAATATTAATTTCATTTAAAGTACTGCTCTTAAGAGGTCACTCTCCTAAGTCCCGAGTTACTTATTTTTCTCCATTCTTACACACGTGCAACTTACTACTTCAATAAATAAATAAATAAATAAATAATCAACCACTATTTCAGTTTTAAAGGCCAAAAAAAAAAAGGAGACATATTCAGACTTCACTTTTCTCCAATTACATTCTATTTATTATTTTTTTTTATACAGAAAATGGCAAGAAGGTCCTTGAATTTATTAATGCACAATTCCTTAATTTATAATGCCATAACTACCCTTTATACAACTTTATTATATATATTTTTTACCTTCTTTACTTTCTTTACTATTTTTTTTTCCCTTTCTCTTGTTTTTTTCGGAGCTCTCAAAGAAAGTAATTTATTCCATACTAATAATTTTATTTTTGGAATTCAAAAGGGGTAATTTATTCTATAGTGAAATTTATTTATTTTTTTTATTTTCATTTTATTTATTTATTTATTTATTTTTTGTACAATTGAAAGAGATATTTATTCAACAAAATTAAATTTTTTATAATTCAGTAAAAAAGAGGTGACTTTATTTTTTTGGTAATTTTATATGGGTCCTGTTAAAAGAAATAATTTATTCGATAAAAATAACCTCTCTTTTTTGGGATCTTATCAAAAGAAATAATTTATTCAATAAAGATATATTTTTTAATCATGTTCGTTTTATACTTATTATTATTATTATTATTATTTGAGATCTTGACAACAGAGATAATTTCTTCAATAAATATAATTTTTTGGAATTTTTTTTTCCATGTCAAAAGAGATAATTTTTTAAATGGTTTTATTTTTTATTTTTTTGACCTAGTCAAAGAGGCAATTTATTCAACATAACAAAATTTTATTTATTTTTGGTCAGTGAAAAAAAAAAAAAATTATTATATTTTATTTGTGTTAGTACCATTTAAAACAAAAAAATCATAGGTAGTCTTACAAAATTCAGAACCACCTAGAGGAAGCAATGGAAAGCAAAAAGAGGTGAAAAGCAAAGCAACTTAGAAACAGAGTTGACTTTGGCATGGGTTTTCAAAAATTAACACCCTCCTACAAAATGATTATAAATTAAGCATGTGTTGAATCCACCAAAATATCTTCCCTTTTCCTCACTATATAAGCCTATGTCCGGCAATAGATGGGTTGGGTTGGGTTGGGTTGTGTGTTCTTGTGTGTTTCACTATCGATAGAGGAGATGATGATGTTGGCGGTGGGTTTGATAAAGGAGATGATGATGATGCCGGCTGTGGGTTTGTGATTTGTTAGGTTTTAATTTTTAATATTTTTTTTAGTTTGTATTTTTTTAAAAGTAGGAATGAAATGGTCATTCCTTTTATGAGAAGGTGGAATGATTTTGATGGAATGACCATTCCAAGTTTAAAATTTGGCACCAAACACAAGAATGGAATAAAGAACATTCCATTCCACTTTCTTTGTATTCCATTATACCGCACCAAACTAGTCCCTAAGAGTTTGTCGTTGGATCACGGACCCCATTTCCTTTGAAAAGTAAAGACTTGGTATCGCTGGACCGTTGGGTTTGTGGCTTAAAATTGTGTGCAGAAATTAATTTCTTTTTCCATTTTGGAATGCTGAAATTTGTGAAGGAAATTGTGTTCCATTAAGTTTCTATTTTAGAGTTGAGATTGATATGGTAACTTTTTGCATGTAAGTTGGAGAATATTTGTCCAATAATGAATTGTGTTTTGAAGACTCTATAAATAGAGATGGGTGTGAGAGTTTTAGAGAGAGAGAAGGGAGAAAAGATGTAAGGGGTTTTAATGATGAGTGTTGTGAGGAGAGGAGAGATTATATGTAATTTCTGATTGTATATATTTAGCCTCAAAAGAGATGATGAGTGAGTGAGTGGGATTTTGACATGTAATTATATATTCTCTTTCTTGACTCATAATAGTAAAATCTCTCTCTACCATGGATATAACCTTAGAGCTGGGTGAATCATGTAAAATATTGTGTTATACGTGGATGTGTATGATTATTATCTCCATATATACTTGTGTTGATGTGATGTGATAATACATTCGCTTTGTGTGACAAGGAAGGAATTTAACACTTAATAACAATCGACCGTTGAGTGAATTAAAAGGAGTTAATTTTACCTAACATGGACCACTGGCCCGTTAGTACCATTTAAAACAAAAAATCAAAGGTAGTCTTACAAAATTCAGAACCACCTAGACGAAGCAATGGAAAGCAAAAAGAGGTGAAAAGCAAAGTACCTTAGAAACAGAGTCTAACTTTGGCATTGGTTTTCAAAAAGTAACACCCTCCTACAAAATGATTATAAATTAAGCATGTGTTGAATCCACCAAAATATCTTCCCTTTTCCTCACTATATAAGCCTATGTTTGCAATTAGTCCATGTTCAGTCATATGAGAATCTTCGCCAATCTTTACCACGTTCTTTTAGGAGCCCCCCATCATATACTTCCCTAACACATTCCCTAATATGCCCCTATAATCCCACATTGAAACTCCATTAATCATGCCCATTTCAACAATGGATCCAATCAAGGGCACAAGAAAACTTCAACCCATGAAATGTTACAAGAAGGGTGAGTACTACTTTTCTAACAATCTCGTTCTTCACTATCTCATAGCTCTGATTTGTACCTTGTTGTGTTCATATCCTTTGTGGTTCCACTCTCTATTGTCTTCAATGAGCCACTTTGTCTTTGTTAGTACCCAAAGCTTCATTTCTTTCTTCCTCAACCCCAAGTGCTTGTTCATAGTAGGCAATGTCATTGTTGTCATCCTCGTCCGAGAGTCAAAGCTTGCTGGTTCGCGTCCATCTCCGGCCACTGAGATTTATGACGAGTATGTTAGGAGGAGCCAAGCTCTTCGCAAAGCCTCTACGTACAAGGAGAAGAAAGAAGAAGGGAAATTGACAGAAAAGTTAACTGGTGAGGAGAAGAAAAACAGTATTGAAACTGGATTGAAGAAGAAAAACATGCAGACGATAGAGAGAGATCGAAAAGGTGATCGTCATCGCGAAGAGGAGGAGCCTGGCTTACCTGTTCAGGAGTTGAACAAAAGAGTTGAAGATTTTATTGCTAGGGTTAACAAGCAAAGATGGCTTGAAGAATACAAGCTCTGAAGAAATTGGATTCAAGTTAGTCTAGGGAAAGGTTTGATTAGAGCAAGCTTTTAAGAATTTTAGCAGAAACACAGTAGAAATTCATGTAATAGTATGTTAATTAGAATATAAGCTTTATTTTTTGTCTCGATATCCTATTTCATTGTTGGTGTGAAAACCAGAAATAAAAATATTTGAAAGTGTTTTTTAACTCAAGAAACTATGTGTCACATTTAGTTTGACTATATTTCATTAAGTTTCTTATTGAATTACACTTAATCTACATTTTTTATTGATATAAATTATGAAAACAAAAATATACTAATTTGATGACATATTCATCATTAAATTTTGAAATTAATTTTTTAAATAAAAATCATAAGTAGAATATTTAAAACAATTTAAGTAATTCTTAATTTTTAAAGAATATAATGCATAAAAAAGAAGGTATTTTTTATTTAAGTAATTTATTATTTTTGTATGAATATATTGTATGAAAATTTTTTTTATTGTAAAAAAGTTTAAAGTGAGTATAATAAAGTTTGCACTTTATTGATGTATTGAACAGTGATGTTCCATCTTTGCTTCCTCATTAATATATTGCTTTTGGTTTAAAAGAAAGAAAGAAAGAAATATCCTAACTATAAGGAGATTTTTTATTTTTTTGGGTTCAAAACACCTCAAGAATTTGAATTGAGGTGGTTTTGGACACTCTGAAATTTAGAAACTAATATTATCGACTGTTTTTAATAACCTTCATTGGATGAAATCTATTGATTGATATTAAATTTGCATATATTGTTATGGCCCAAATAGAACACAGTCTTATTTAGCTTCAAAGTAAAATATTTATGCTCTTACTTCTCCGTTTTCTATTCAGAACACCCCCTTAAAGCTCTCTTTCTGCACTGACCCTCACATGCTCTGCTTTGGAGCCCTTCTATGAAGGTTCACTCACATCCAAACAACCAAACAAAGCTCTCTTCTTTTGTGCGTGACTTGGTGTACAATTATGATCGGAATATTCTCAACTTTTCTCACTAAGATTCTCTCCCTCATGGGTTAGGGTTATAAGTCAAGGAATGGGAAAAGGTTAGCAAATTATATATGGTTGGTCTACTTTTCAAAAGCAAAAATACCTATTCATTGAACTCTACGTCAAAATATAGAATAGAATAGGGGCGTCAAAGTTTGACCCCATTCGCCAATATGACTCGAACACGATACTAGTTAAGCGAGTTTGTATTGACCTTAAATAGATTTGGGTCGCAAACGGATTGATACGATTAATCCGTTTAGTTAATCGTGTTATGTTTGGATTGAGGGGTTCAACCTATATAATCTGTTTATACACATTTAATTATACGTATCATAAATAAATTTCTATTTAAGTTCCAAAATAACTTCTAAACCTGTATCAAATAATTTATTCTTTTGTAAGTTGTAAATTATTTAGTAATTTGGTTGGATTGAAATTTATATATTTTTTAGTATTTATTGTTTGATTGAGTATTATTAACAATTTAAATAATATTTTGTTTTATTAAATAGGTCATTAAACAAGTTACACGTGACCACTAATTGAATTATAAAGACAAAAAAATAAAAAAAATAAGAATAAAAATAAAAATAATAGTATTAATATGCCAATGGGTATGTCGCAAGAAAGGCAGACCAGAAGGGCAGAGCCTTTTCTTGCCATAAAAGGTTGAAATGGAATTTGACGGTAAAAGCAATTGAATTTTTATGGAAGAAAGCATTGAAAAACTTTTAGAATAAGATGAATGTGAAATACAGGGAGAGCTGTGACGCGAGCACCTTATGCGAGTTCGCACCCTCATCACAATATTTGTGATATATATATATATATACACACACACACATATATATATACACACACACACATACAGTGCACCTACATAAAGTATGCCTACTTTCATAGTTTCATGATCTCTTTAAAGTTCGTGTTTGCTTCCTGAGTGTGTTTATACTGTATACACGGAGTATATATTTTCAATGAAAAACAAAAGACGGAAAATTACTTATCTATGAACTTTTATATCACAAATTACCAAATTATGAAATAAACTAAATTTATATAGTTTTAAAATGTTATGTTTAGAAGCAACAAGTTAGTAGTTTGGAGTTAGCACAAATTATAAAATACTAAGAACAAAATATGTAGAATTTATTCTTGATAAATGAATAGCACTTCAATGAATAGTATATCAATATTCATTCAAGAACAGAATATGTAGAATTTATTTTTGCTAATGGCGGTCCATACGCACATAGTTTTCTGGATTGTCCCTGTGTATAACTATGGGCATAAACGTACATCGACAGGCAACTTTTTAAGCAAATTTAAATCTAACACTTTGCTTTTGAGCCTTTCTATGAAGCTTCACTCACATTTTCCAAACAACCAAACAAAGCACTCTTCTCTTGTTCATGACTTGATGTACAATTATTATCAGTATATTCTCAACTTTTCTCACTAAGATTCTCTCCCTCATGGGTTATGGTTACAAGTCAAGAAATTGAAAAGATTAATAATGATTATATATGGTTTTCCAAGAGCTTTCTATACTTTTGAAAAGCAAAAATACCAATTCAATGAACTATGCATCATATAATAGAAAAGAGTAACACTTAATTATGGGTACTTGGGGAAATAAAGGGGAGACTAGAACTTGCAACCATCGGGTGCTAGTGACATACACCAATGTCATCATCACCGGTTCACTTTAATATTACCTTCAAATGTGAATCACATGACTCTTTCTGATTAGTGCACTAAAAGGTACCCTTCGTAAATTTTCTTTCATTTTATTTTCAATTAGTACTACTCTAATTGATATATATATATATATATATATATATATACACGCGCGCGCGTGTATATTAATATTAACATTTTTAAGTCATGTATATATATCATTTTAAATGTGTTTTACTCGCTGTATTATCAAATTACCCTTTATTTTGACACAATCCTTTTTGGCCTCGTTGATGTCATCAATATTAACTTAGGCTTATTTTTCCCCATTGGACACACGTGCCACCTACTACTTCAATTATAAGAGTAAAAAAAAGGCATGAATATGCCAATTGGCTCCAAGAAAGGCAATTGGGGACTTTTTATATGCAATAGAAGGTTTAAATTAAATTGACGATAAAAAGCAACAGAACTTAAGTCTATCAGGAGATTAACGAACAAAATATATATATATATATATATATATATATATATATATATATATATATAAAGTTAATGAAGGGAAATGATATATTGTGTTTGGTATAAATTATTAAAGAAAAAGAAAAAAAAGATAGAAGAATTTTCAAGGATACAAATTAGGCTTTAAGAATAGATTTTACTATCTTTCGAAAAATGAAAGGAAATAAGAAATAGAAGGAACTGGAAGGATTACAAAGTTCAATAAACTTTTCTAATGTTGATTTTGTCTTTTTATGTTCTTGTTAAAGGCTATCCCTACTCACATAATTTTTTGGTATGTATGGGATGCACACGGCCTGCTTTGGTCCGATTTTGAGGATTTTTAGAACCAAAACGCTCCCTACGGTTTCAGAAAATATGAAACCGAACTAAACCATTTGAGCCATGAACCAAACCAGCCCAAATTGTGAAAAACAATTTGGTTCAGTTCGGTTCCATGGTTCTAATTGAATTTTATTTCCTTTTTTTTCCCCTTTGAATTGTATATACAATAAAAATATCAATTAAAGCATTTACATTCCCGAATCCAATACTAAAATGGAGAGAGAAAGAGAGGGGAAAGTGGGTGAAATAGATCCAAAAGCTAAATGTAGGTGCAGAATTTCGCTCAACCAATAATGATTAAGAAAAATAAAACAACTCACTCAATCAATAGTAAAAATAAACAAGAACAATATATGTCGAAGCGTAGAATTGCTTGATCCCTTTATTGGAGGTCTAAGCCTCTATTTATATACAAAAGATTGTAAAATTATGGTTGGACTCGCGTTGCTTGCCCTCCAATTATTTCTATATAAACATTCTTTACTAATAGAGTTCTTTCCGTTGTCTAATTTTCCATACATAGAACTTACCTTGTACAGAACTTCCTATCTCAGAATTTTCCTTCTACGGTAAATCCTTCAACTGATAGGACTTGTGCATTCTTGAATAACTGGGCTGAACATACTTTGATCTGGCTGGGCTTGAGTAACGGACCAGATGTTAAATATTAACCAGTTGGGCCGATGACCTCTTGATTCGGCCTTGATGGAGGCTGGAGGACAAATAACAATGGTCTTGGGCTAAAAATACCCTCAATTTGGGCTCGAGCATGATGGGCCTTATATGTCCTTGGAGTGTAGATATGTGTAGTGATGACGTGTGCGCTTTTTATTGGAGGGAGTTTTTTTCCCTCTACACTTTGCCCCAAATTTCATTTTTAATTGAGTGACGGCTCCCATTAAAGAGGGAATTGAAACCGGTTTTTTACTTTGCTTCAGAAACGGTTCGAGATCTTTCATTATTACTCCGTCATACAAGATTCTACAAGAGTTACATTCGCCCTCGCTGCACTCCTTCGTTCTTCATTCCATCGCTTTGTCAGGTTAGTTTTTTTTCCACATCTTTCTCTTCAATCTTTCATTATGAGTACTTCATCTACTCCCGAACGTATAGACATTGGGGATTCTGAATCCACACCTTCATCTTCCCCCGTTCGCATTAGGGCTCCCCCTCCTAGGGTTTCTACAGATCGTCTTTCGTTGAATCAATTAGGTACTTCCCCCCTTCCAGCCGAGACATCCACCTCAGGCTCTGATAATGTTCTTACTCATGAAGAGAGAAAAGCAATCATCTCTATTCGCCGTATCAAGTTCTCTATTGCTTCGGTAATGGAAGAATTTGATATTCCTGAGGGAGTAGAAATTGCAGAATATCCCGAGGGTGCCGATTTTACCTCCGGCGAGGGAATTGAAGAGAGTGAATTGCTTCTTTCGATAGGGCATCTTAACGCCCTCCG